ACCTTTATGCTTTTGAATTACGTGGAAATTTCATTTCTGACAGAACTTTTTTCCTACGTCACCTTTTCGGACATTTTTGTCCAGGCAAACGGGGTCCCACAAGGAAGTGTCTTGTCACCAACATTATTTTTATGTATGATAAATGACGTCTTACCAGCTCCTTCTCGGAATCTTAAATACTCACTGTACGCTGATGATTGTGCATTATGGCATTCCAGCAATAATGCAGAATTCTCGGCAAATCGCATCCAACTGGCACTGGATATGATTCATAACTGGGGCTTCCAGTGGGGTTTTAAGTTTTCCACTAGAAAGAGTATTGGGGTAATTTTTTCACATAGGAGTAAACCGAACATCAAGCTAACTCTAGACAACCACCCAATACCTATTCAAAATTCTGTTTCTTGGGCTACTCTTTGATAGTAGACTCAATTGGAAAGACCACATTGGTCAGTTAAAGAATAAATGTCAAAAAGCACTATAATTATTAAAGTGCATTTCTGGTAATAAATGGGGAGCTTATAGATAGCCTTTGCTAATGATATATAAAGCCCTAATTAGGTCTAAAGTAGATTATGGGTCAATCATATATGGTTCGGCATCTAAAACGAAAGTTTGAAAGGTTTGGATGCTGTGCAGAATGCCTGTTTGAGTGTGTGTGTTGGAGCCCTAAAATGCACTCGGATCGAGCGTCTTGAGGTGGAGTCAGGAGTACCTAAGTTCCGACTCAGACGCGGCCAGTTAGCACTGACCTATGCCGCAAAGGTGGCTCGAGACCCAAACAACCCTAATGGCAGTGGAGGCACGACCTCGTCGAGAAAATCGGTATAGATCTCTCTACCATCGATACCCTGGTTCAGTCAAATATAGTACCATGGGACACCCACAATTTTTTCTATCATGGAAGCCTGGCTTCCATCAGCCAAGGCCATGGCACCGGATGTGGAAGTACGCCAGAAGTTCAGAGAGACCCTTGTTAAACATTTTTTTTTATATATATACTGATGGCTCCAAGACAGATGAGTGTGTGGGTGCGGGTGCATGGTCGACTGAATGTGAACTAAAGTTCAGACTGCCGAATCATACATCGATCTTTCTTGCTGAACTGTTTGCTATTGACGAAGCTATTGATTTTGCACTATCGACGACTCACGATAGAATAGTTATTTTTTTCCGATTCATTAAGTTCACTTAAAGCTATTAAATCCTTAGAAACCACTAAAAATGAACTGCTGGGTAATATCATTCGTAAGTCACATGGTGCCAACAAATCAATCAAGCTAATATGGGTGCCAGGCCACTCTGGTATCCATGGCAATCAACAGGGTGACAAATTAGTCGGGTCAACTGGCGATCTGGACACTACCCTAGTTCGTACAGATCTCAGGTGTTTTGTGTCTCTTATAAAAGCAAAAATACATATGTGGCAAAGTGAGTGGACCGACCTCAACATACACAACAAACATAAAACAATAATAGAAACGTGAGATGTCACGAACCATCTCACAATAGACCACACTTTAATATCCTGCCATGAACACTATAACAGTAGACAAACATTAAAAAATTATTGCAGAATGAAAAGCACCGTTCACAACATCAAACCTCTTATCAGACAATGAAAAAATAATAAGTAAAGTAATCACTTTATGACCTCATATAGATTGATGAAATAAATAGGATTCATTGATAGCCAAAAAATCCAACAAAAAGAGACAGAAATCGATGGTGTTATTTTTATTATATACATTATAATTAGTATAATGTTCTAAACATTAGTAACAACAAAATAAAATACCGTAGAATATTTTCGTAAATCAAAGAAAAGGGTAAACAGGCAGGCAGTACCCATTTGGCCATCTATGTGTAAAAACAATTAAACAAGTAAACTCACAATGGGCATGGCATACACGTACACGTCATACCCGTCGACATTTGGTTACATATATATATATATATATATATATATATATATATATATATATATATATATATATATATACATATATATATATATAACTTCATATATAGATATATATGCATACACATATATATGCATAAGTATGTGTATATGTATATATATACCTATATATACATAAATACATATGCATATATATATGTATATATATATATATATATATATATATATATATATATATATATATATATATACATATATATATATATATATATATATATATATATATATATATATATATATACATACATATATATATATATATATATATATATATATATATATATATATACATATATATATATATATATATATATATATATATATATATATATATATATATATATATATATATATATATATATATATGTATGTATAATGCATATATAATACATATATATATGTATGTATTCATATATATATATATATATATATATATATATATATATATATATATATATATATATATATATATATATATATACATGCTTATGAATATATCTATATCTATATTTGTGTATGTACATATACACTAATGTTTTGTCTATATATATATATATATATATATATATATATATATATATATATATATATATATATATATATATATATAAGTATACATATACAGATATATATATATATATTCTACTACATATATAAATATGTATATATATTTACTTTTATTTTTACATATATGTATATGCACTTTCATAATTGTGTATATATGTATATATATATATATATATATATATATATATATATATAT